AAAAAGACCCAAAAAAACAAAACAAAGCAAAAAATGGAGAAAGAGCCCCCCAGAATTCAAGGGGCAGTGATTACAACAACATTGTTAATTTACCTGATTTGAGCAAATAACTCCTCCTTCCAATTTCATCTTGTCTGACAACTTGGAATGTATGAAATAATTTATGCAAACTGAAACCTTCTTTCTTCCACCCCCTTCCTAAGCAACAAGTACAAATTATAGCCCTCATTATTATAGGGTCTTTGTTGTAAAGACTCCGCCTGCATCTGTTCCCATCTTGTAAGAACAATGAATAAAGTGAAACTGTCCTATTAACTGTAACCCTCTCCCTGGGAGCAGGAGAGATGGAACCTTGGGTTTCACTTCAACAACACAGGGGTTTTCAGTATAGTCAGAGCAAGGCCTGATTCAGAAGAGCTCTCCAAAGTCACTACAGTTCAACACAGTTCCTCCATATGTCCCCAAGCAACCCCAGAAGCCTGTAATGCCAAGGGCCACACCTAGAGAGGTGCAGCTGCAGCTTCTGCTTCCCAGCATCAGAGTCAACAGCAGTATGGAAGGACTAAGTCTTTATATAGAATTGTAATTAGGCCAGTTTTAAATTAGAAACAAGCTTCTTTTACATGTCAATCCCGATCCCTGTCCCTCCCCTCCTCCCCTGCCCCCCACTAATCTCCTATCCCATCCCCTTTCTGCTCCCCAGGGAGGGTGAGGCCTTACATGGGGGATCTTCAGAGTCTGTTACATCATTTGGAGCAGGGTCTAGGCCCTGCCCAGTGTGTCTAGGTTGAGAGAGTTTCCCTCTATGTGGAATGGGCTACTAAAGTCCATTCCTAGGCTAGGGATAAATACTGAGCCACTACCAGAGGCCCCATAGATTTTCCAGACCTCCAAACTGACATCCTCATTCAGGGGGTCTAGAACAGTCTTTTGCTGGTTTCCCAGCCATCAGTCCAGGGTCCATGAGCTCCCCTTATTCAGGTCAGCTGTTTCTGTGGGTTTCTCCAGCTTGGTCTTGACCCCTTTGTTCATCTCTCTCCTCCCTCTCTGCAACTGCATTCCAGAGTTCAGCTCAGTGTTTAGCTGTGAGTGTTTGCTTCTGCTTTCCTCAGCTACTGGATAAAGGCTCTAGGGTGGCATATAAGGTAGTCATCAATCTCATTATAGGGGAAGGACAATTAAAGTAGCCTCTCAACCACTGTTTAGATTATTAATTGGGGTCAACCTTACAGATCTCTGGACATTCCCTAGTGCCAGGTTTCTCTTTAACCTATAATGGCTTTCTCTATGATGGTATCTCTTTTCTTGCTCTCCTCTATTCTTCCCCTGACTAAATCTTCCTGCTCCCTCATGTCCTCCTCTCCCCTCCTCTTCTCCCCTTCTCTTTCTTCTAGCTCCTTCCCCCTCCCTCCATGCTCCCTATTAGGTGCTGGCATAACTGGATGCTGACATGTAGAAGACTACAGATGGACCCATATCTATCGCCATACCCAAAACTCAAGTCCAAATGGATCAAAGACCTCATCATAAATCCAGCAACACTGAACCTCTTAGAAGAGAAAGTAGGTGGTACCCTCGTATGAATTGGTACAGGAGATGGCTTCTTGAACATAACACCAGTAGCACAGACATTGAGATTAACAATTAATAAATGGGACCTCCTGAGAAGCTTTTGTAAGGCAAAGGACACAATCAACAAGGCAAAACGGCAGCCCACAAAATGGGAAAAGATATTCACCAACCCCACATCTGACAGAGAGCTGATCTCCAAAATATACAAAGAACTCAAGAAGCTAGTCACCAAAACACCAAATAATTCAATTAAAAAGTGAGGTACAGACTAATTAGAGAATTCTCAATGGAGGAATCTAAAATGGCTGAAAGACACTTAAGAAAGTGCTTAACATCCTTTGCCATCAGGGAAATGCAAATCAAAACAACTCTGAGATACCATCTTGCTCCTGTCAGAATTACTAAAATCAAAAACACCAATGACAGTTTATGCTGGAGAGGATGTGGAGAAAGGGGAACACTCTTCCACTGCTGGTGGGAGTACAAACTTGTACAGCCACTTTGGAAATCAGTATGGAGATTCCCCAGGAAAATGGGAATCAGTCTACCACAAGATCCAGCAATTCCACTCTTAGGCATATACCCAAAAGAAGCACATTCATACTGAAGGGACCAGCTTCCCTTTCGGCAGCCATAACAGCTGAACACGGGCTTGCCATAAAAC